CTTTTACAAATTTCTCTCTAGTTCTTCCTGTGCAGGACTTTCTACCACCTCTCTTTAATGCCTGGGCTACCTCTTATTTCTTGTTTCCTCAAAGGAGCCTTGAAATTCCTAAATGACAGGAATAATGACAATTGAGAAAGGGAGAACACATCTTACACGGTCCTCTCCTGTTCCCTGAACTCCGAGATTCTCCTCTGTTCATACCATCTTTACCAAATGAATGATGATCAAAGAGCCCAGTGACACCCAGAAATTATGACAGCAGACATTCCTTCATACAGTTTCCTACCTGCTAGAGAATAAAATGTCTCAATTTGTAATGCCAGCATCAAGCTGAAACTTATCTTCTGGACCAACCTCTCTCTCCCAATCTCTTTATCAACAGCTTACCGTACTAAGTGTAATACTTAAGTTTAACTCTTAAGCCAGAAAATTACTTTTCAGCTAATCAATTTTTTTCAGTTTTCTTAGCAATGACTGAACTATTAAATGCTAGTGAGCATTTTGCACATTTAATGAAAGTCTTTTTTACTACCTACATTTTATGCTAAGTTCCCACTGTTCTGTTTTCATATGCTTTATATAGTAGGAAAATGGCATTTTACATAATTAAGTTGACATTAGACAAAACCTTAATTCTACCTTCTCTGTCTAACTAGGGTGCTATTTGTGAAGAGTTTATCACAATTTTAGCTCAGAGAAACCATTTAACTGTCATGGTCAGATAAACTGATTAATTGCTAGCCATTATTAGCTGATATATTGCTGGGACCAAACATTTGGTCCTTAGGATGGCAAAATGTTTTTTAACAGTTTGAATTATTTATGGAGGTGGCAGTGTGGAACTCGTGGCTTTTGGCATCAGAATTAGATTTAATTTTGAACACCATGTTAGCTCTGAGACTTTGAGCAAATTACTAAGCTTGTAAAATGGTACTAATTCTACATCACGGAGTTGTTTTGAGGAATAAAAAGCTAATGCCTGGGATACAAAAATTCAATCAGCACAAGTTCTCTTATCTTTTTGCATAATTCTTAAAATCAGAGTGTTGAGCCATTGATTTCACTTTTCAACCACTGACATATTGACACTACCTTTAAACTGCAAAATAAGGTATTTGTGAGTGAAATGTTCTTAAATTCCCCCAATTTATCATTTTAAACTAGTTTATTTGGCACAAGTTGTGCCAAGTTTCTTCTTTAATATGGATGATACAACAAAACAAACCAAAAAGTAGTCTTAATGATGAAACTATCCAGCACGAGTACATAAATCAGAGTATATTCACAGAGAAATGGATGCAAACTATCAACAGTGAAAAAATGGTGAAACCTCTAAATACTCTCTCAATTCTCCTAAGCCCAAGAATAAGTGATCTTTCAATCTTCAAGATATTGATTCATGAGATACAGAAAAAGAGTAATGTTTAAATTGGTCACATCCTAAGCAAAAAGATCCATTAGTAGAATTACCTCATTCATACAAAAAATATGTATTTGCTGATAATCCACCATGAGCCACGCATGTGTTAAGTACTAAAGATAAAATGGTGAGCAAATCAAATACAGTGTCTGTCCTAGTGGAGTTTACAGGTTAGGGGAGAGTACACTAGACTAGGACAAAATATAGAGGATGAGCAGGCATTAACTAGGTGGAAATGAGTGGGAAGCAAAGACACTGAAACATCTGGGAAGGGGGCAAACAGAGGAAAGAGCATGTACAAAGGTCATGTGCCAACAGCAAGGAAAATAGAAAATCTAAAAAACAGAAAAAGAAACCAGGTCAGAAAGAGTTAAGTAGTGGTTAAATCAAGCAGGAACATGAATCCAGTTAAAGATTTTAGAATTTATCTTATGAGCAAGGGAGCCCACAAAAGAATTTTAATCTCCTGGAAAATATATTTAGGTTTCAGCGATTTTTCTCTATTAAATTTTCTGCTTTCTATTTATTTGAGCTCAACTCCAGTCTTTGGCATTTCCTTTTTACTGCTCACTTTGGATTTGTTTTTGTTTGTCTAGTTTCTTAAAATAGAAGCATAGATCATTGATTTGATACCTATTTTATTAACATAAGCATTTAATTCTATAAATCTCAATCAAAGCACTGCTTTAGCTTCATTACACAAATTTTGAAATTTTGTATTTTCATTTCCTTCAGTTCAACTTTTTCTTTTTGGTTTCTTCTTTCACCTACGGGTTATTTGTTAGTGATAGACACTTAGTCTTGTCAGACTCCTTGTGACCCCATGAAGCATAGTCCACCGGCCTTCTCTGTCTATAGAATTCTCCAGGGAAGAATACTGGAGTGGGTTGCCATTTCCTTCTCCAGGGGATCTTCCGTGAGATCTTCTCAACCCAGGGATCAAACCTGGGTCTCCTGCATTGCAGGCAGATTCTTTACCATCTGAAGTATCAGAGAAGCCCTTTAGAACAGTGATATTTTGTTTTCAAATATCTGGGAATATTCTAGTTATTAATATCTGTTACTGATTTCTTGATTCCATTGTTATCAGAGAACATTCTTTGTATTATTTTAATTCCTTTAAATTTACTGAGACCTGTTTATGGCCAGAATATGGACAATCTGGTAAATGTTCTGTGTACACTTGAAAAGAATGTGTATCCTGTTGCTGTTGGGTGATGTGTTCTATACATGTAATTAGATGATTGACAGTTTTTCAAGTCTTCTATGTTCTTATTTTTTGTATACTAGTTTATCAATTATTGAAATAAGGATATTGAAATATCCAACTATAATTATGAACATGTTTCTCTTTTCTATTCTGCCAATTTTTGCTTCACATACTTTCAAACTCTTTAGGCTCATAAATTTTTAGTAGTATTATGTACTCTGGATAAATTTTTATTCTTATCTTTCTTTACCCCTAGTAATATTCTCTGCTCTGAAATCTACTCTAAAATTTACATAGCTACTTTCTACTCATTAGTATTAGTATAATTTATCTTTTCCTACAGTTTTAGTTTTAACCTTTATATCCAATGTAGCTTTCTTATAACCAGTATACAGTTAAGTCTTGCTTTTAAAAATCTACCCCAATGATCTCTGACTATAATTAGAGTGTTTGATTATTTATATGTAATATGATCTTGGAGTAGGAAATGGCAACCCACTCCAGTATTCTTGCCTAGAAAGTTACATGGATGGAGGAGCCTGGTGGGCTACAGCCCATGGGGTTGGAGAGTCAGACAGACTGTGACTGAGCATGCATGTATCTGCAATGTGATAGATATGACTGAATGTAAATCTACCTTCTTGCTATTTATATTCTATTTGTGCCATCTATTTCTTATTCCCCTTTTGTTCTTATTCTGTACTTTTAAAACAAACAACTGAATATATTTTATGAATCTATTTTATCTCCTTTATTGGTTTATTGCTATACAACCTTGAATGTTGCTTTGGATTACTTTAAGGTTTAAGGTATACATCTTAACATTTCAGCATGCCTTCAATAACATTATACCACTTTTAATGCAAGAAAATTACAGGAGTATATTCTATTTCCCCTCTCACATTCTGCATTACTTTGTTGTTATATATACTTCTGCTGCTATCTTTAAGCAATCATCTCTTTAAGAAATTTTTCAAGAGAAGTATTTTGTATCTACCCACATATATATCATTTTCCGTGTTCTTTATCCCTTGGAGTAGGTCTACATTTCCATTCAAAGTCATTTTCCTTTTTTTTCCCTGCCTGCCACAAATACTGTGATTTGGTGTCATGTTTGCGAGTGCTTTGTGGTATACTTCCAAATGTTGTTCATCAAGTATTTCTGGCTTTCTGTTTTCCAGAAAGTATAATTCCTGCCCTCCTTATGATTACTTGGAGCCCATGTGACTAGTTTTATCCCGACTTGTACAGACTTAGGTCCTACCATAATAAAAACATAAAATGTAATTCACTAGCATAGCAGTCAAGAAGCAAGTATCAAGAAAATCATTCCTGGGAACTTTAAGGTTAAGGGTAGTTATCTAAGTTATTCAGTGGCAAACCCAGTGGAAAAAATCGTTGGAAAACTCTGTGATAACCTAGAAAGCAGCTGATTTGCTAATGAACTTGAATGCTCGGTGAAGAGGTTGGAAGACAGAATGTCAGTAAGTGGAGGCCTTGGATGCTAATCCTAGCCAAACCTAGGAGAAGCAAGTTGAGATCATCTGAACAGCAGCTCTCCACCTTCTATTTACTTGTTTATATCCTCACCCACTGAATCCTATTACACTTAGACTCAGCGCTACACAACATAGTCACTTTTTTTTTTTTTTTTTTGAGTATTTCGTGTGTATCTACAATTAGACTGCAAGCTTCTTGGAGCTGGGTCTATGTTTTAATTTCTTTTAAATCTCCCAGAAGGCCTAGAAGTTAATGTTGGGAGCATACGGCTTCAACATACACAGCTTAGGTCTCTGAAGCACCATTTGAGTCAGAGGGTATAATCACCTGGCTTCGGCAGTACCCTGACGCGTCTGTCGGCCTGGGGTTTCTTTGTGCTCATCCACAGTCTGTTTTCTATCAGAACAAAGGGCTTGTTGAATAGATAAAGTAACACATCGTCTCAAGTAATCGGAATAAACGGAATTTGACCCACTGACTCGAGCATTAAGACTGTGAACGAAGACTAAACCTCTGACAGATCAAGACAGCTTTAAAGACACGTGTTTTAAAATCCCACTCCAAAGCCTAGTTACCCGCCAGTTACCACGGCCTCCGGAGCTGCCGACGCTCAGAGATGTTGACAAGGCAGCGAGGATCCGCGGTCCGGAGGGCCCGTCTCTATGGTAACGGGGAGGCGCAAGTGCACTTCGCGGCCTTCTGACGGAAAATCTTAATCTGAACCTAGAGAGGAGCGGAGCGACGGCGGCGACTTGCGGCAGCGGAGTGACTTACGGCCGCCCCGCCCCCTTGGAGAGCGCCCGTCGGTGGGCGCGGAATACGGAGGCCGGCGCGGGCTTGGGTACTGTGGGCTGGCCGCGCCGAAGCATGACCCAGTCGGTGGTCGTGCAGGGTAGGCCTCCTTGGGAGGATGGGGACCCAGTCGCCGCCGAGGCGAGGGCCCTTTTTCCCGCCTCATGTCTGTTCTCTTTCCTTCCTGGGCACAGTGGGCCAGTGCGGAAACCAGATCGGCTGCTGCTTCTGGGATCTGGCGCTGAGAGAGCACGCCGCCGTCAACAAGGTACAGCTAACCCTAACTCCCCACCCGCACCCCAGATCTGTCTCTGAGGCTCTTCCAAAAAATAAGCAAGAATCACTCTCTGTGAGCTCTTGTCTGGTCAGTATTTTTATACGAGGTCTTCTTGGTAGAGGGCAAACTGCTTTTTGTTTTTGTTTTTAAATTTTAGTGAAGTACAGTTGATTTGGGGGCTTCCTTGGTGGCTTAGCAGTGGAGAATCCGCCTGTCAATGCAGGAGACGGGGGTTAAATCCCTGGGTCAGGAAGATTACCTGGAGTAGGAAATGGCAACACACTCCAGTGTTGTTGGTGGTTCCCAGGTGGCGCTAGTGGTAAAGAACCCACCTGCCAATGCAGATGTAAGCGACCCGAGGAATCCCGTGGACAGGGGAGTCTGGCGGGCGACAGTCCGTGAGGTCGCAAAAGAGTGGGACACGACTTAGCAACTAAAAGAACAACATGGTTGATTTACAGTGTTGTGGTTATTTCTTCTGCCCAGCAAAGTGACTCAAACTTATGGACAAACATTAAGGACAAATTTAAGTTGGCGTTAGACACACAACAGTCTTAAGGAGCACTGGCCAGAGACCTCTTTGTCAGGGCTCTTGTGAGGAGCAATGATATAGCATATGTGAAAGTTGTTGTTCAGTTGCTAAGTCATGTCCGACTTTGTGACCCCATGGACTGCAGCAGGCCAGTCTGCATTAGTAGGTAATGGTGTGTGGTACTGTAATCCTTAATTTAACCAGTTAGTTTTTTAAATGATTGCCAAGAATCCAAGGAAAGCTTTCATTTGATGCACCTGTTCTACAGTTCTGTGAGGACATCATTCTTCAGTACCGCCAGCTGAATTTAATCCATAGATCTCACCATATTTCCTCTTCTCTAGAGTGGAAGAATGAATCTAAGCATTTTATGATTATTTGCTTTTTTTGTTGTAGCTGTATGCCAGCCTTTAAAGTATTGCGGGATAATTAAATTAATAATCCTTAAATTAAAAAGACTTAATTTGGAAAAGAGGCTAAATGTAATCAAACACCAATACATGTATTTTTTCTTTTTAGAAAGCGATTTATGATGAGGCAATAAGCAGCTTCTTTAGAAATGTGGATACCAGGTAAGATGGGGTTAAAGTTTATCACATAGCATAATGATTATTTTTATGTCAGCAGTTTGTGGTAAAATTTTTGAAAGGACAATGATGGTTGATAGCTGTAAAGAAGTTGTCCATCTTTTTGTTTGTTTTTCTCATTATTGAAAACGTATTCTTTTGTCATTAATATTCTCATATCATTCAGCAGAGTAAGACTACGTTTCCTTTTATTCCTTTATATCAAAAAATAAAAAGAACCTTTAATGTTTGTTCTTTTAACTTGACCTTGAGATAAAGTTTCACTAAAAGGAATGCTGAAAATTTCCCTGAGAGTATCTTGTTAATGCATTTCAATAATGGCTAACTTTTGAAAGAAAACTGTACTGTTTACTTTCCTGTGATATTACTTGTGGCCAGGAGTATTTGCTCTACAAATAGAATGTGCTAAAAAGAAACAAAGCAGATGTTGTCAGATTAGTTTTGTTAATTTTAAAAGGGTATATGTAAATATAGAGCTTCCCAGGTAGCTCAGTGGTAAAGAACTCCATGCAGGAGACGCTGGTTGTATTCCTGGGTCAGGAAGATTCCCTGGAAATGGCAACCCACTCCAGTATTCTTGTCTGGGAAATCCTGTGGACAGAGAAGCCTGGCGGGCTACAGTCCATGGGATTGCAAAAGAGTTGGACACGACTTAGCGACTAAACAACAACCACAAATGTGTAAGTATATATCTTTTACCTGAAAGGGTAATATTTTGTTCAGAGTATTTTTTCTAAGCGTTTAATATTAAGTCATGAAGTTCATGCATTCTCAAAATGCTTAATGAAACTAAACCTGCTGGACTTAAACTGAAAAATAAATGGTTTATATGAGTTTTAACCTAATAAAAATTTCAGTTCTACTTTGAATTAGTTGCTTGGATATCTGAGGCAGTTATCTCCCAGAGAAGGCTAGGTAGGCCCCACTTTTTGGTGAATGTCAGATTTTGATCCTCAGGCTTGCAAGCTCGGAAACTTCACTGACGCTTTGAGAATGAGCCCAGTGCTCTCCAGTGCAGGCAGAAAACCAAACTAAGACGGGCGATTAAAAAGCAGACAGTCAATGTAGTCATAGACAACAGGAGCTATAACTCAAGACTAGATACTTATTATCTTTCCAAGGCACATTCTGTTCTGTAAGAAATCTCTCAGGAAATCTAAGGAGTAGAAGGCCGCTTGGTGACCATGGAATCAGACCAAAGTAAGTTAGATATATTACTTAACTTAATGACTGGTGTTATTTATCTTTATTAATATGGAGACATCTGTCACATAGACTAGGTTTCCTCTTGTTTGTACACTGTAATATCTTCTTCCTTAAATACTATTAAGAGACTCAAATTTGCCTTTGCAGTACTTCCTTTTAGGTAGTATTCTAACTAAATTTGTACTCCTATTCCCTCTGTTGTATTCCTTTCATTGTTACATAGTTGAGACTCAGCCTGGAAGGCATTCTTTCTTAATAAGGTGATTTTACATAACTATATTCTCATCTCCTTGGTTTGCTTTATAGTTTAACCTGAGAGCATTCTTATTTCCATAGTATCAAGTTTGAAAAAAGGGCCTTGGCATCTTGCTCTTCTTTCCATGCGCTATGAATACATGCAGCATCTATTCCACAGAGTAGTACAAAAATTCTTTTTCAAGAATAGGACCACATCTTTTTATATACTTCTTTATCTATTTGAGGAAATTATCATACCTTTTTAATACCATGATAGGAATATACCTATACCAAGTGTTGGCAAGCCTTTCCTATAAAGGACCAGATAGTAAATATTTTAGGTTCTGCAGACCATAAAGCCTAAGCCACATCTCATTTAGTCTGCTCTGATAGCATGAATGCAGGTATAGATAGTACATAAACAAATGATGTGACTTTATTCCAGTAAATCTTGTTTTCACAAGTAGCTGGTCAGAGCTGGCCTGAGGACTATATTTTATCAAACCTGACCTATGGCATCATCTATACTCAATGCAGCTTTCCTTCGTATATTCTGTCTTGTAAACTATATTGACCCGTACACTGTTTGTGGTCACAGATTTAGTTATTTTGGTGACTTATCTTCAACATGAAATTCTAGAAACAGCCTTAGATACTCAACAGTATATAACTGATAGTTGATGTGTGTTTGGCTGCAACAGGAAGCCTCACTAATGGTGGCTTAAACAGTAGATGTATCCAGTTATGTCACATTCAAAGAAAACTGGAAATTGGATGATCTCTGTCTAGAGAATTGCCCTTAAGACCAAATACTGTCATGTTGTTTCATGTGTTGGTTTTTTGACCTCGTGTTTTTTTACTTGTAACTATAAAATGACAGTTTCCACTGCCAGGAATCCCATCCATGTTCATGTTCAAGATAGGAAAAAGGACCAGCTACATCTGGTCATTTTTATCAGAAAGCTTCCCAGAATAACTCCTTTTTACCTCACTACCCAGAACTAGATTTCATGGCCAGCCCAAACTGCAGACAAAGAAAGGGAAATAAGTACCTCACTTTTTCAGCCTGATGGTAGATGGGTAGGGGGACGCAGGTTAAGAATGGCTTCTTTGTTGCCTTCCGTGTCTGCCTCTCTTGACGACGTATAAGTAGCTTTACTCTACAAATGGAAGTTAACCTTATTATCTAATAGGATTATTACCCATGGGCTATCTTATGACTTTTTCTCATCTTTTGTCTTTCAGAGTGGTTGGTGATGGTGGCAGTATTTCCAAAGGGAAAATTTGTTCTTTAAAAGCACGTGTAAGTTGTATACACTTGGATTCTTATATTGCATGTGTTTTTAAAATAACTGTACTTCTGTAACTATCATTAGAATAAAATTTAACTTCTCAACTTTTAAAAAAGTATTTGCTAAGCCACATTTAATATAAATATGATTAAGCAGATATTTGTGTCTCCATGAAACTTCAGGGGAAAAATTTTGTGCTTAAAGTAAAAATGCTGCATATTTAGCATTTTTTGCCTAATATTTTAGGTGAAATATATGTCTAGATAAATAATAAAAGCCATCCTAACTCTAAGCTTGAAATACATTCTCAGTCAGTTCAGTTGCTCAGTCATGTCTGACTCTTTGTGACCCCTTGGACTGCATGCAGCACACCAGGCTTCCCTGTCCATCACTGACTCCTGGAGCTTGCTCAAACTCATGTCCATCAAGTTGGTGATGCCATCCAACCATCTCATCCTCTGCCGTTCCCTTCTAGTGCCTCCAGTCTACCCCAGCATCAGGATCTTTTCCAATGAGTCCCTTCTTCACATCAGGTGGCCAAAGTATTGGAGCTTCAGCTTCAGCATCAGTCCTTCAATTAATACTCAGGACTGATTTCCTTTACAATTGACTGGTTTGATCTTGCAGTCCAAGGGTCTCTCAAGAGTATTCTCCAACACCACAGTTCAAAACCATCAATTCTTCAGCAATCAGCATCTTTCTTTATGGTCCAGCTGTCACATCCATACGTGACTACTGGAAAAACCACAGCTTTGACTAGATGGACTTTTGTTGGCAAAGTAATGTCTCTGCTTCTTAATATGCTGTTTAGGTTGGTCATAGCTTTTCTTCCAAGGGAGCAGGTGTCTTAATTTCATGACTACAGTTACCATATGCAGTGATTTTGAAGCCCAAGAAAATAAAGCCTGTCACTGTTTCCATTGTTTCTCCATCTATTTACCATGAAGTGATGGGACCTGATGCCATGATCTTCATTTTTTGAATGTTGAGTTTTAAGCTAGCTTTTTAACTCTCCTCTTTCAACCTCATCAACAGGCTCTTTAGTTCCTCTTTGCTTTCTGTCATAAGGGTGGTGTCATCTGCATATCTGAGGTTACTGATATTTCTCCCGGCAGTCTTGATTCCAGCTTGTGCTTCATCAAGCGTGGCATTTTGCATGATGTACTCTGCATATAAATTAAATAAGTAGGGTGACAATATACAGCCTTGACGTACCCCTCTCCTGATTTGGAACCAATCCATTGTTCTATGTCCGGTTCTAACTGTTGCTTCTTGACCTGCATACAGGTTTCTCAGGAGGCAGGTAAGGTGGTCTGGTATTCCCATCTCTTTCAGAATTTTCCACAGTTTATTGTGATCCACACATTCAAAGGCTTTAGTGTAGCCAATGGAGGAGAAATAAATGTTTTTCTGGAATTCTCTTGCTTTTTCGATGATCCGGCAGATGTTGGCAGTTTGATCTCTGGTTCCTCTGCCTTTTCTAAATCCAGCTTGAACATCTGAAAGTTCACGGTTCATGTACTGTTGAAGCCTGACTTGGAGAACTTTGAACATTACTTTGCTAGCATGTGAGACGAGTACAGTTGTGCAGTAACTTGAACATTCTTTGCCATTGCCTTTCTTTGGGATTGGAATGAAAACTGACCTTTTCCAGTCCTGTGGCCACTACTGAGTTTCCCAAATTTTCTGGTATACTGAGCATCATCTTTTAGGAGTTGAAATAGCTTAACTGGAATTCCATCACCTCCACTAGCTTTGTTCGTCATGATGTTTCCTAAGGCCCACTTGACTTCACATTCCAAGATGTCTGGCTCTGGCCCTAGGTGAGTGATCACACTATTGTGGTTATCTAGATAATTAGGATCTTTTTTTTATAGTTCTGTGTATTTTTGCTGCCTCTTCTTAATATCTTCTGCTTCTGTTAGGTCCATACCATTTCTTTGCTTTATTGTGACCATCTTTGCATGAAATGTTCCCTTGGTATCTGATTTTCTTGAAGAGATCTCTAGTCTTTCCCATTCTGTTGTTTTCCTCTATTTCTTTGCACTGATCACTGAGGAAGGCTTTCTTATCTCTCCTTGCTAGTCTTTAGAACTTTGCATTCAGATGGATATATCTTTCGTTTTCTCCCTTGCCTTTCACTTTTCTTCTTTCCTCAGCTATTTGTAAGGCCTCCCCAGACAACCATTTTGCATTTCTTTTTCTTGGGGATGATTTTGATCACCGCTTCCTGTGCAGTGTTACAAACCTCCATCCATGGTTCTTCAGGCACTCTGTCAGATCTAATCCCTTGAATCTATTTGTCACTTCCACTGTATAATTGTAAGGGGTTTTATTTAGGTCATACCTGAATGGTCTAGTGGTTTTCCCTACTTTTCAGGTTAAGTCTGAAGTTTGCAATAAGGAGTTCATGATCTGAGCCACAGTCTGCTCTCAATATTGACCATCTGGTTATGTCCATGTGTAGAGTCCTCTCTTATGTTTTGGAAGAGGGTGTTTACTATGACCACTGTGTTCTCTTGGCAAAACTGTTAACCTTTGCCCTGCTTCATTTTGTACTCCAAGGCCAAACTTGCCTGTTACTCCAAGTATCTCTTGACTTCCTACTTTTGCTTTCCAGCCCCCTATGTGACTTCCATCACCAGATATATCCACTACTGGGTGTTGTTTTCACTTTGGCTCAGCCTCTTCATTCTTTCTGCAGCTGTTTCTCCACTCTTCTCTTGTAGACTGTTGGGCACCTACCGACCTGGGGAGTTCATCTTTCAGTGTCGTATCTTTTTGCCTTTTCATACTCTTCATGGGGTTCTCAAGGCAAGAATACTGGTGTGGTTTGCCATTCCCTTTTCCAAAATACATTCTCCTGAAGGTTAATTTTCATTTGAATATGGTGAAAATTTTCTTTCCATCACAGATATTGCTCCCAGTACAAAGCATGGATTCAGCCATATTGTAGTGAATACATACCATAACCATGTAAAAACTCCTGAACAAAAATATTTCTAGTCAATAGCTTGTGTTTAGTCTCAAGCTAATTCTAACAACACTTCTCTTCAACAAACTGCTTTTTCCAGCTGTTGATCAGTAATATTTGATTATGACAAAAATAAAGGTAGTTTAGATGCTATGGAAATAATTGAGATGCTAAGGATCAGACCTGGAGGAGTGGCTGAAAGAGTAGAAAACAGTAGTGTTGTGGTACCTGGGTACCATCTCCTTGTGTTTAGGAGACCATGTGCTTGTTAGGATAATTGATTAACCTAATTAGAATAATTGATTAACCTTTGGTATAGTTCATGCCTTAGGGAGTATGTTAGTCCCTACCAGATCTTACTCAGAGATAAAGAAATGTTGACTTTTCCTAGTCCACTCCCAGTTTGAGCTCTTTCCCACCACCATACCAGTGAGCGAGTTGGGAAATGGGAGGAAGCACTGTTGGGAAAGGGTGAACCAGCATGTTTCTGTAGCCTTTGACTTTTTTCCTAGAAAGTTTTCTTCCATTTCTCCTTAATAGTCTTGGTATCATGTGGATCACTGAAGAGTCTAAACTTTAAAAGATAACTTGGTAGTTGGGTTCGTCCACTGTGTCCAATATCTTAGGTTAACAGGCAAACACTCAGAATTTGGTAAATCCTGTATTACGATTAGGGAAAGCTGAAAGGCCTGATAGCCATCACCAGGTAGCTCTGGAATAAAATAACATCAAATCTTAGAAGCTGTGACTCCAGACCTAGGCTGGCTAAGTGAGGAATCCAGAAAAATTCCTTCCAATTGTCATTAACTTCCAAGGGAGAAACAAAGGTCTGATATGACAAAGGAAAGATTCAAAAAGTTATAGACTGTCAGGGTTTAATGCTAAGTGACTGTGAAAATGATGGTTCTCTCAACACTGACTTCGGGAGATTCTCATTTTCTTTTTAGTAATAGATGTTGTCTCCCATCTCAGTAAAGCTTGTGGCATTTATGAGTTTGTGAATTTTTACTGTGAATTACTGGCGGGGAGGGATACTGTCGTCATCTTTGACATCTGTCCAGTACCTTGGCTTTGCACATATAAGTAGTTTACTGATTTGAATTGGACAGTTTTCAGCTGTGATTTCATAAAGAGTAGCATGGTTGTACCTAGTGAGCTAATATGTTAATGCACCCTACATTCACTGAGAATTTTTTTGGTTAAAGTTCCCATCTAGACTTCTGAGACCCTGTTCTCAAGAAATGTATAGTCACATAGGCACATAAATCAGACATGGCTGAGTGACTTTTACTATAGCTATTCTTACTTTCCCCTGGAGAAGGGAATGGCAACCCACTCCCGTATTCTGGCCTGGAAAATTTTATGGACAGAGGAGCCTGGTGGGCTACAGTCCATGGGGTCACAAAGAGTCGGACACGACTGAGCAGCTAACACTAGGCATATGCATAAAAGAATTGTTAGAAAACCAGAGAGAATCATTCAGTTCCCTTTTTTCCTTCTTATTCTTTGGGTAAAGGTTCAGAATCCATCTTTTCATTGGATTCCACTTTTGGAGCAGAGTGAAATTAATTTTTTAATTTTTGTAACAGATTCTATATAAAAGAGTCAAAGATTTGATTTGGTTTAAATTATAAAAAGAACAATGTAACTATAAGCTCAAAAATTATTTTTATTTATAGAGTGACTAAAGAAAACTATGCTGATTACATTTTATTTCTCTTTTTTAGGCTGTCTTGATTGACATGGAGGAAGGGGTAGTAAATGAAATTCTTCAGGGACCATTGAGAGATGTATTTGATAGTAAGCAGCTCATCACTGATATTTCTGGCTCAGGGAATAATTGGTGAGATTATGCCAAATGTAAAAATCAAATGTCATCTGAAAACCATGAGGAATCTTTGTTTCATTCTGTTAGGTCCTACTGACATGAAAGCAAGATGTAATTTGCCACACCTAACACTAGGCCTTTCAGCCCATCATCTTTTCCTTCATAGATGATAGTGTTTCACAATGCTTGGAAGCTATCTGCATCCTAGTTGTCTCTCTCTCTCTCTCTTTTTTTTTTTTAAAGAAAAAGATGAATCATGAAAAATTCATTTACTAAATTTCTCCTTGTAATTTGATTCTTTGTAAATGCTAGGTAGTGACAAAAGTTGCAAGTATAAACTGTTCTCTTACCTCTCACTATAGGTCATAGTAAAGACTCGATCAGTCAGATTTAATGGAAAATGATGATACAGATACTGAGATGCAAGCCAGACCAGTGTCCCAGCATATATAACTTATTTTGTAACTTTTGAGTTACACCTGACCACATGTTATGTGGAAGTCATTCTTACATTTCAGTTCACCATAATAATACTTGAGAATCTGGGCAACCAAAAAGGCTTGCAGAGCCTCATGAATATTAGTACTAGAGGAAGTGTGTGGCATTTGATCTAGTACTAACATGATGTGACCAATGTTTTTCTCATATTTTAAGTCTAAGGTCCATTTAGAATTTTTTATTTTTCATATCTTTCTAGTTGACCACAATCTGCTTTTTAATACATAACATACACCACAGTCAGAGATTAAGTAAAGATGAGGTAAAAAAAATCTATGTAACTAAAAGCTCATTTTGTTGTATTTATACCTTAAGAGAAGATAAATTTTAAAAACTGTAGTTTAATATCCATTGATAGTGAACTATCTTACAGGTTACTTGTGGATATATATATGTGTGTGTGTGTATGTGTATTTGCTCAATTTTCTACCAAGTATCTTTGAGATCATATAATATGATTTATTGATATTAAACAGGAATAGAATTTACTTAAAACAGTAAAAATACCTTTTCAAGTTTATAGTCTTTTAAGTCAGAAATAATAAAATCTTGAAAAAATAAATGCAAGATTTTTTCTTTAAATCTGTATTCTTTTTTCTAGGGCTGTGGGTCACAAAGTGTTTGGCAGTCTTTATCAGGAAAAGATTTTAGAGAAACTCAGAAAGTCAGCAGAGCACTGTGATTGTTTGCAGTGTTTTTTTATAATACATTCCATGGGAGGAGGTAAAATTATTCAATTATTTGTCTATTACAGTGTGAAAATGCAAGTGGGTATTCATTTTGTCAACATAAGTCTTGTTTTCAGGCCTTTACTTTAAAAAGATAGAACTATTAATTAAGAGTGTGTTTATGAGTGCATGTACATAACAGCTTTTTATTTTAAACTTTTGTCAAATTGTGTCACTCTGACCATTTTTTACAAACTTAAACACATTTAAAGAGCCAATAGAACTGAATCTGAAAAAAGTTTTCTTCTGTCTTTAGTGGAAGGTAGATTTCAGTATGGAGAAGGCAATGGCACCCAACTCTAGTATTCTTGCCTGGAAAATCCCATGGATGGAGGAGCCTGGTAGGCTGCAGTCCATGGGGTCACTAAGAGTCGGGCACAACTGAGCGACTTCACTTTCACTTTTCACTTTCATGCATTGGAGAAGGGAATGGCAAACCACTCCAGTGTTCTTGCCTGGAGAATCCCAGGGACAGAGGATCCTAATGGGCTGCCATCTATGGGGTCACACAGAGTTGGACATGACTAAAGCGACTTAGCAGGAGCAGCAGCAGATTTTAGTATAAGCTTTTTGGGAATGCTGCCTTTCTCCTAAGAGTTTTCTTGTGTGGTTCTGCATCCTAACGAGAGCTAAGTATTTGTACATATTCATAGATGTGCTTGCAAAAGAATATCAGTACCCTTTCTTTAACCACCTTCAGTCCTTTCTTGTGTTCAATAAGAGAAATAAGTAAAAGAAATCCTCTTAGTCAACTCCTTTAAATCATTCCTTACATGGTAATTAACCACCTTAACCTAGAATAAATGATCTACATTGCTTTCTTTCCCAGGGAAACCTGTACTTTGCAAGTGAAGTATTTTGCTCCTCTGTTCCATGAAGTAGAAACTGATCATAATTTGCTAATTTCAAAAGAGAATTAACCTATTTTAAAAGAAAAATTTGCCACACTTTTTTTCCTTCAAGCTGAGATTAAGATTGTTATATTCAGCAGGTTATGTACAATTGACTTTATTATTCAGTATGATAGTATTTGAAAATTAAATTGCAGTGTAACCATGCCTTTAGAAGGCCATCATAATCATTTAAATTAAGAACTAGTTTTCTTTGTACTGACATAATTAGCCTGCAGATTTTGAGTAAGTTTTCCCAAAAATACCAGTTTGACTTATAGTTCTTTATGATACCTTTTTATATCTCTTTATTACTCAGAACCTCAGTAGATTGTACTTTATTCATAGCTCACTGAAAATTGCAAATATACTTGAAACAATATTGAAGATTAAAAATGAAGTTTTTTCCCACATCTAATCCCTAATCTCTCTCCTCACAGATAATCAAGTTTCCAGTGTCTCTCCTTCCAGATATTTTCTGTGCACATTCTGTGTGTTTTTACATAAACAAGATCATGCAATACATATTACTCTATCATGTTTTCACCTTAAATTGTTTCTGAACATTTTTCAATATCAGCCCACAATATCCAATTGTGTAAATATGTAATAATTTTTAAAGTCAGTTCCTCATTGATGGATGTCACATTATTCATGGTTTTTAGTTACCACATAAAAATCCCCAGCGAGCATCTGGTATCTGCCTCTTTGTTTGTTCCACAATAGCTATAAGGAGTATTCCTAGATAGGAAAGTGGGGCCAAAGTCCGTTGGTACATTTTAAGTTTTGATTGATACTACTAAATAACCTTCCCACAATACTGCGCCATTCTGTATTATTAGCAGCAATTTATAAGAGTTTATTTCCCCACACTGTCACCAACACTGTGTATTATGAGACATTAATACATTAAAAATTATTTTGTGTTAATTTGCATTTTTAATTAGATGAAAGTTTGAGCATCTTTACATCTATTTGCGATTTGGTTTATTTTATTATAATAATTATAATTATTACAATTTCTGTCCTTAGGTCATTTTTCCATTGCATTATTCATGTTTTTACTGTTGATTTGTAACTCTCTTTATTAAAGAAATTTAATCTTCCATCATATGTTTTGAAGATTTCTTTTCTTAGTTTGCCTTTTTTTTCATTTATATGGAGAGAGAAATTTTATTTTTAATGGAATCAAAACTGTCTTTTTCTGTAATGGCTTTGGTTTTTTATAATGCTTAGAAAGTCCTTATTAAGGACTCTTTTTAACCCAAAAAAATCTCTGTCACTTTCATCTAATATTTTTAATTTCATAACCTTTTAATATTTATTCACATGGGGTTAGAGCATTGGCTTTTAAACTTTTCTTTCATCAGTATAACAAGAAGTACATTTTATATCACCCAGCCCAGCACACACACACACAGACATGCACAAACTAAAACAGAAGATTATTTACCCATACTATATGTGACTTACTATTATTTCTTTTGTTTCACTTAAGAAAAGAGAATACTAGTCGTAGTTTTATAAATTAGGTTTATAACCCCCTAACGGTTCACAAGCCATACTTTGAAAACCACCAGGATAAAGGATTCCAGTTTTCTCTCTTTAAGTTTTAAGTTCTTAAAAATATCTGAATTTGTGTAAATAGAACTCTGTGTGTCAGAAAGTTAACCTGAATGGAATTCTTAGAGTTTCTGCTTTTAGACAGATAGTAAAAAGTTTTCCTGTTTTTAGATTATGTAAATTATAGTTGGTTATGCTTAACTTTAAACCACTTTAACTCTGCGTTTTAAGTTGCTTCGTGTCATGATACCATTCATCATTAAGATTATGTAGGTGCTACACCAAAGATGTCAAGATAATTTGGTTTGTTTAAGTTGCTTAACATCAAGTGTAGTCTGAATACTGTTTTAGGTGAATTTTTTACTCTTGGATCAGTTCTCTTGGCATCATATAGATATAATTAAATGTAAAAATGTGTGAAGTGTAGAAAGGTCTCTTATCATCATAGCCAGACCCAGAGATTGAATTCATGACTTCAAGTCTCACTACCTATATTGTCATTTATCTGAAATTAATTAGTTAATATATATATAATCACAGGTATGAGTTGAAAATTGTCTTTAATAAATATTTTTACCAAAAATATCCCACAGAAATCCAGGTTCTTTACAATTACACTCTGAACCATTTATGCTGTTTTCTTTCTGAAATCTTAATCCTCAGGAACAGGATCTGGACTTGGCACATTTCTTTTAAAGGTGCTCGAGGATGAATTCCCAGAAGTATATAGATTCGTGACTTCAATTTATCCTTCTGGTGAGGATGATGTCATAACCTCACCTTACAATAGCATCTTGGCAATGAAGGAACTTAACGAGCATGCAGACTGTGTTTTGCCCATTGACAACCAAGTAAGAAATGGCATTGTAATTTATGGACATATTGTGTATACATTCAGTCTTGTGTCTTGCTTGTGTGTTTATGTGAAAGAGTCTCCACTTTTCAGCCTTTCCATCTAAGAGAAAAAATAAATTTAAATTGATATTTTTTTGTCTTCCTAGAAGAATTGTCATCTATGTCTTCTCTTCTTAATTAGCTTCTTTCCCAATATTTTTCCCTTAAAAGTCTTTATTTGACATCATTAGCAAAATTGACCTCATGATGAATTCTGGAAAGTTGGGTGCAGCTATAAAGCCAAAGAGTCTGGTTACTTCAAGTACTGGAGTTTTTAAAAAGCGGCAGGAGAAACCTTTCGATGCAATGAACAACATTGTGGCAAATTTGCTGCTCAATTTAACAAGGTAATTCTATTCACAGTGTACCTAAGGGCAGTTTAAAAACTTCACTGTGCTTTTGATGATGTTTTGCAGTAGCATTTTTTAGTTAGTCTAAGTTGTAGAAACTTTTTTAAAAATTTTATTTAAAAAATTTTAGTTTGTCTAGTATTTTCAGATCTTTGAATGATAGATCAGAATTTTATTTTCACTGACTCCAGAGCAGCATTTTCCCCAAGTACATTCCATGAAATATTCAGTTCAGTTCAGTCGCTCAGTCGTGTCCGACTCTTTGCGACCCCATGAATCGCAGCACGCCAGGCCTCCCTGTCCATCACTAACTCCTGGAGTTTACTCAGACTCATGCCCATCAAGTTGATGATGCCATCCAGTCATCTCATGCTCTGCCGTCCCTTTCTCCTCCTGCCCCCAATCCCTCCTAGCATCAGGGTCTTTTCCAAATTAAAAGACACTTACTCCTTGGGAGGAAAGTTATGACCAACCTAGATAGCATATTAAAAAGCAGAGACATTACTTTGCCAACAAAGGTCCGTCTGGTCAAGGCTATGGTTTTTCCAGTGGTCATGTATTGATGTGAGAATTGGACTGAAGAAAGCTGAGCACTGAAAAATTGATGCTTTTGAACTATGGTGTTGGAGAAGACTCTTGAGAGTCCCTTGGACTGCAAGGAGATCTAGCCAGTCCATGAAATATTAATAGGTGTTAAATGATAAAAGGTTTTGTGGGAGATATACTTGAGAAACACTTTGGTTAGACAAAAGCCAACTTTTTTTTCTTTTCCTTTCTGTAAATTAACCCTTTAAACCAGCTGATCTATAACTTTATTAGCTGGTCCAAAATATTTCTTTTACTTTGATCTAAAAGATTACTTTGGCATTATTCCAAATTATAGCACATATAAGCAAACCCTGGGGGAATTTATTAATATGTTTAAGGTTTATAGAACTAACTATTGAACTATATGTATTTGATTCAATCTGAAGTCTGTTTTAAGTAAAAATTTTACATATATAATTAACAACTGTGGTCGTGTGTCTGGTTATACTTTAGATAATCCAGAAACAAGAATTGCTGTAGATGTTGTGTTATATTTTAATTATCTTTATACATTATGTTCACGATACTAAATTTTACTAATACAGAAAAAGCATATATTCTCTACTGAAGTACAGTGTACAAAAATAAGAAAGTGCCTGCTGACTAAATCAAGCTACATTAACTTAAATATTTTTCATATTTTAATGTTAATTTTTTAGCTCTGCCAGGTTTGAAGGATCCCTTAATATGGACCTGAATGAAATCATCATGAATTTAGTTCCTTTTCCTCAACTGCATTATCTTGTTTCAAGCCTAACACCTCTGTATACACTGGCAGATGTTAACATTCCTCCTCGAAGGTAAGATGTAGTAACTATATTTCAATTACTTGAGGATACAGATTACTTTAAAAACAAACACATTTTTAAGAGATAAGTGTATAATAACTCTAGTTGTTTCTTCATATCATCTTCTTTGTGAAAAGTATATAAAATAATTGATGACAGCCTTTTTCTATTAAGTGAATGCTGCTTCAGAAGTCATTGTTTAAAATAAAAAATAGAAGTCTTTATAAAAATCTCAATATTGTTTGAAATAAAATCTAATAACTGAATTTTAAAGACATAATCTTCATTGAAAAAGATGTAATGGCTATAAAGTCTGACATACTTAAGTATGAATGCTAACTCTGTCACTTACTCATTACAGGACCTTGGGCAAGAGATGGACTTTTAGTTTTCTCATCTTTAAAAATGAGAGTCAAAGTACCTACCTCATATGTGTTTTGGGTATATTAAATAAGAGTATCTTTTAAAGCTCTCACCACAGTCTAGCACCACAGAAGGCTTACAGATATTGCTCTATTCAGTTCAGTTCAGTCACTCATTCATGTCCAACTCTTGCAACCCCATGGACTTCAGCACGCCAGGACTCCCTGTCCATCACCAACTCCCAGAGTTGATTCAAACTCATGTCCATTGAGTCTGTGATGCCATCCAACCATCTCATCCTCTGTCATCCCCTTCTCCTCCTGCCTTCAATCTTTCCCAGCATCAGGGTCTTTTCAAAAGAGTCAGTTCTTTGCATCAGGTGGCCAAAGGATTGGAGTTTCAGCTTCAGCATCAGTCCTTCCAATGAGTATTTAGGACTGATTCCTTTTAGAATGGACTGGTTGGATCTCCTTGCAGTCCAAGGGACTCTCAAGAGTCTTCTCCAACACCACAGTTCAAAAGCATCTGTTCTGCGATGCTCAGCTTTCCTTATAGTCCAACTCTGAACATCCATACATGACTACCAGAAAAACCATAGCTTTGACTGGACAGACCTTTGTTGGCAAAGTAATGTCTCTGCTTTTTAATATGCTATCTAAAGTTTCACTGTTTTCATTGTTTCCCCATCTATTTGCCATGAAGTAATGGGACCAGATGCCATGATCTTAGTTTTCTGAATGTTGAGTTTTAAGCCAACTCTTTCACACTCCTCTTTCATTTTCATCAAGAGGCTCTTTAGTTCTTCTTCACTTTCTGCCATAAGGGTGGTGTCGTCTGCATATATGAGGTTATTGATATTTCTCTCAGCAGTCTTGATTCCAGCTTGTCCTTCATCCAGTCCAGCATTTCTCATGATGTACTCTGCATGTAAGTTAAATAAGCAGGGTGACAATATATAGCCTTGACGTACTCCTTACCTGATTTGCTCTATTATAGTTGTTATATATCATTTCTAGAATACCTTGTTTTATAATTAAGCATAAAAGTTACATCAATTTACTTAACAAAAGATGTAGTTGAAAAATACTCTTAGTATATACAGTGATGATGAACTTGAAAAGGTCACACTGACATTCACAGTTGACAGAGGAAAAAGGTCTTGTCAGACTCTGTTAGAAGAAAGTCAGAAATCCCTGGCAGTCCCGTGGTTAGGGCTCCAAGCTTCCACTGCAGGCAGCCTCGGTTCCATCCCTGCTGGGAGAACTAAGATCCTTCCTGCCTCACTGCACAGCCAAAAAAAAATAAACTCTTTTAGAGGAAAGTTTGTAAATGATAAAGTGAAAACTAGATTACAGATCTTTTTTTAAGAGTTTAAATTAAGATTTTGCCAAGCTAATTCTATACTGTGGAATGTCACAGTGATATTGATTAAATTTTATTTGAACAAGTAACAGATAGCCAATTATGCCAACTAGTAGGCACAGTCTCTCTCTCTGTGAGAGATGCTAATGAGCTTAAGCAACTTGCACAATGTGTTCTATTGAACATGGGAGTCAACCATAAATGTTTGCTTTTATTATCAGCCCAGCATATTAAAAATGAGTATGCTGGTGAAAAATACACCTTCAGTGTGGACACACAGAATGTAAAGTGGTGCAAACTATTTATTGTACAGTAGTGATTATCCAGACATTTAAAGTTAATCCTTAAAAGCTAAAGACATGTAATTTCTAGTTAAGTTCAGCATAATCCTGCTTGGTATATTTTGATTAAAATACCATATCAACATTTAAAATTTTTATTTATGTAATTATAACTTGTTGAAGGTTTGTTTTTAATTAAAACATGTTAGGAAAATCTGTAGAGAACTTTAAAAATGTTAGACTTAAGAAACTAATCACAATGTTCTTTCTAGCTTTGTGTTCTCCTTATTGCCTCTGCTATACTAGAGATATTTCAAAGGCCTCCATATCTACATAGAAACATATTTATCCTTGAGCAAATAATAAATTACTTTAAAATTATACTCTTAAAAGGCATAGTTTTATTTTATTTTATTTTATGGTTTTTCTTTTTTTTTTCATTTATTTTTATTAGTTGGAGGCTAATTACTTTACATCATTGCAGTGGGTTTTGTCATACATTGAAATGAATTAGCCATGGATTTACATGTATTCCCCATCCCGGTCCCCCCTCCCACCTCCCTCTCCACCCGATCCCTCTGGGTCATCCCAGTGCACCAGGCCCGAGCACTTGTCTCATGCACCCAACCTGGGCTGGTGATCTGTTTCACCCTAGATAATATACATGTTTCGATGCTGTTCTCTTGAAACATCCCACCCTCGCCTTCTCCCAGAGTCCACAAGTCTGTTCCATACATCTGAGTCTCTTTTTCTGTTTTGCATATAGGGTTATCGTTACCATCTTTCTAAATTCCATATATATGTGTTAGTATACTGTAATGGTCTTTATCTTTCTGGCTTACTTCACTCTATAATGGGCTCCAGTTTCATCCATCTCATTAGAACTGATTCAAATGAATTCTTTTTAATGGCTGAGTAATATTCCATGGTGTATATGTACCACAGCTTCCTCATCCATTCGTCTGCTGATGGGCATCTAGGTTGCTTCCATGTCCTGGCTATTATAAACAGTGCTGTGATGAACATTGGGGTGCACATGTCTCTTTCAGATCTGGTTTCCTCGGTGTGTATGCCCAGAAGTGGGATTGCTGGGTCATATGGCAGTTCTATTTCCAGCTTTTTAAGAAATCTCCACACTGTTTTCCATAGTGGCTGTACTAATTTGCATTCCCACCAACAGTGTAAGAGGGTTCCTTTTTCTCCACACCCTCTCCAGCATTTATTGCTTATAGACTTTTGGATAGCAGCCATCCTGACTGGCGTATAATGGTACCTCATTGTGGTTTTGATTTGCATTTCTCTGATAATGAGTGATGTTGAGCATCTTTTCATGTGTTTGTTAGCCATCTGTATGTCTTCCTTGGAGAAATGTCTGTTTAGTTCTTTGGCCCATTTTTTGATTGGGTCATTTATTTTTCTGGAGTTGAGCTGGAGGAGTTACTTGTATATTTTTGAGATTAATCCTTTGTCTGTTGCTTCGTTTGCTATTATTTTCTCCCAATCTGAGGGCTGTCCTTTCACCTTGCTTATAGTTTCCTTTGTTGTGCAAAAGCTTTTAAGTTTCATTAGGTCCCATTTGTTTATTTTTTGCTTTTATTTCTAAAATTCTGGGATGTGGGTCATAGAGGATCCTGCTGTGATTTATGTCGGAGAGTGTTTTGCCTATGTTCTCCTCTAGGAGTTTTATAGTTTCTGGTCTTACATTTAGATCTTTAATCCATTTTGAGTTTATTTTTGTGTATGGTGTTAGAAAGTGTTCTAGTTTCATTCTTTTACAGGTGGTTGACCAGTTTTCCCAGCACCACTTGTTAAAGAGGTTGTCTTTTTTCCATTGTATATCCTTGCCTCCTTTGTCGAAGATAAGGTGACCATAGGTTCGTGGATTTATCTCTGGGCTTTCTATTCTGTTCCATTGATCTATATTTCTGTCTTTGTGCCAGTACCATACTGTCTTGATGACTGTGGCTTTGTAGTATAGTCTGAAGTCAGGCAGATTGATTCCTGCAGTTCCATTCTTCTTTCTCAGGATTACTTTGGCTATTCTTGGTTTTTTGTATTTCCATACAAATTGTGAAATTATTTGTTCTAGTTCTGTGAAAAATACCATTGGTAGTTGATAGGGATTGCATTGAATCTATGGACCAGCTAGACCTAATTGACATCTATAGGACGTTTCACCCCAAAACAATCAACTTCACCTTTTTCTCAAGTGCACACGGAAACTTCTCCAGAATAGATCACATCCTGGGCCATAAATCTAGTCTTGGTAAATTCAAAAAGATTGAAATCATTCCAGTCATCTTTTCTGACCACAGTGCAGTAAGATTAGATCTCAATTACAGGAAAAAAATTATTAAAACTTCAAACATATGGAGGCTAAACAACACGCTTCTGAATAACCAACAAATCATAGAAGAAATCAAAAAAGAAATAAAAATATGCATAGAAATGAATGAAAATGAAAACACAACAACCCAAAACCTATGGGACACTGTAAAAGCAGTGCTAAGGGGAAGATTCATAGCATTACAGGCCTACCTCAAGAAACAAGAAAAAAGTCAAATAAATAACCTAACTCTACACCTAAAGCAACTAGAGGAGGAAGAAATGAAGAACCCCAGGGTTAGTAGAAGGAAAGAAATCTTAAAAATTAGGGCAGAAATAAATGCAAAAGAAACTAAAGAGATCATAGCAAAAATTAACAAAGCTAAAAGCTGGTTTTTTGAAAAAATAAACAAAATTGACAAACCATTAGCAAGACTCATTAAGAAACAAAGGGAGAAGAACCAAATTAACAAAATTAGAAACGAAAATGGAGAGATCACAACAGACAACACTGAAATACAAAGGATCATAAGAGACTACTACCAGCAGCTCTATGCCAATAAAATGGACAACTTGGAAGAAATGGACAAGTTCTTAGAGAAGTATAACTTTCCAAAACTGAACCAGGAAGAAATAGAAGATCTTAACAAAACCATCACAGGCAAGGAAATCGAAACTGTAATCAGAAATCTTCCAGCAAACAAAAGCCCAGGACCAGATGGCTTCACAGCTGAATTCTACCAAAAATTTAGAGAAGAGCTAACACCTATCTTACTCAAACTCTTCCAGAAAATTGCAGAAGAAGGTAAACTTCCAAACTCATTCTATGAGGCCACCATCACCCTAATTCCAAAACCAGACAAAGATGCCACAAAAAAAGAAAACTACAGGCCAATATCACTGATGAACATAGATGCAAAAATCCTTAACAAAATTCTAGCAAACAAAATCCAACAACATATTAAAAAAATCATACATCATGACCAAGTGGGCTTTATCCCAGGAATGCAAGGATTCTTTAATATCTGCAAATCAATCAATGTAATACACCACATTAACAAATTGAAAGATAAAAACCATATGATTATCTCAATAGATGCAGAAAAAGCCTTTGACAAAATTCAACATCCATTTATGATTAAAACTCTCCAGAAAGCAGGAATAGAAGGAACATACCTCAACATAATAAAAGCTATATATGACAAACCCACAGCAAGCATCACCCTCAATGGTGAAAAATTGAAAGCATTTCCCCTGAAATCAGGAACAAGACAAGGGTGCCCATTCTCACCACTACTGTTCAACATAGTTTTGGAAGTTTTGGCCACAGCAATCAGGGCAGAAAAAGAAGTAAAAGGAATCCAGATAGGAAAAGAAGAAGTGAAACTCTCTCTGTTTGCAGATGACATGATCCTCTACATAGAAAACCCTAAAGACTCTACCAGAAAATTACTAGAGCTAATCAACGAATACAGTAAAGTTGCAGGATATAAAATTAACACACAGAAATCTCTTACATTCCTATACACTAACAATGAGAAAACAGAGAAATTAAGGAAACAATACCATTCACCATTGCAACAAAAAGAATAAAATAGTTAGGAGTATATCTACCTAAAGAAACAAAAGACCTATACATAGAAAACTATAAAACACTGATGAAAGAAATCAAAGAGGACACAAACAGATGGAGAAATATACTGTGTTCATGGATTGGAAGAATCAATATTGTCAAAATGGCTATACTACCCAAAAGGCATAGTTTTAAAACTTTAAGTAGTCTCCAACAACTGGGAATGATTTTTGGTTGTGCTTTGTATTAGTAAATGTCATCTAGTCCATTTTTATCAATGACAATAGTAAAACATATTGGAATGTGTATATGCTCCTTTAAATTCTTTATTTCTAATGTAAATATAAATATCCCAAGAGCTATAAATAGCTCCTTGCTAATTGTTAAGTTTTTTGACAAATGGTAAACCAAGAATGAGTTTGCCTGCTTATTGTATAGTGGTTCTTAACCTTTTCTGGATTAAATGCCCAAAAGCACATACCAAAATTTTGAACACAGTAGAGGAATCGTTAAGTCCCCCAAAGCTCACCATCCACTGAGAGAGTCCTCTATCCTTCTTACTATAGAAGAATGAGGATAGAATATAGGCTCCACTAGAGTAGGGGATTTTTGTTGTTGTTCACTGCTGGGTCTCTCACACCTAGAATGGTGCTTGGCATTTAGTAAATATCTACTCAATGAAATCGCAGCATAGTGCAATTTCTGTGGCTCTTCCTAGACAGTCTGCAGATTCAACACACAGAGCTCTGGCTAGAGTTATCAAAGGAACTTAATCATACTTGTATTGAGTTAAATTGGATTTAAGAATCAGACTGGGGCCATATTAAAGGCCTGGGAGCCTGTATTATTATATAAACTTCATCAGTCACTTTTATCTTCCTCTTTTTAAAGAATAAAAGAAGTTAAAAGACTTCATTCACTTAAAAGTATCCGTTTTCAGGAATAATAGTAAGAGTTGTGTCTTTTTCAGAGAACCTAGTATTGTCCTTTGATAGTTTCCTCTTAATTATTCCTAACTAACTTGTGATATATTTTATAGACAGTAGTCTTAATAGGTTTTTAGTTTTGATAGTTCTGATATTATGAAGTAGATAAGCATATTGAACTAAGTAATAATGATGTAAGTTTTAGACATTAGTACTAGATAGAGTCAACTGACAATTTAGTCAACATTTTGTAGCTACCTGAAATCACCAGTATATTGCAGAAGCCTTTTTTATCATCCCCTCAAAATTGCTTGATTTCCTCTCCTCATATTTACCCAGATTGCTTTGAGAAAATGATATCTAGGATTCAGAATATAATTGTGTGTGGTTTATTTACCTATAGATGACTGTCTTTTTCATCTCATAGTTACAGATAGAAGGATGATGTAATATTTGTGTAAACTCTTCCATTGTTCTAGGTTGGATCAGATGTTTTCAGATGCCTTTAGTAAAGATCACCAGCTAATTCGAGCTGACCCCAAACATAGTCTCTACCTTGCCTGTGCCCTCATGGTTAGAGGAAATGTACAGATTTCTGATCTTCGCAGAAACATTGAAAGGTTCGATTTTATACTTCTCAAGATAATGTGTTATGTGTATTGTTTGCAACGGTGGAGCATGTAGTTAAGTAGCATTGTGAACTTCAATTGACGTGTGACCTTGAGCAAGCTGCTTAGCCATTCTGAGCCTTATTTTTCCTCAAATTTAGAAAAGAATAATAGTACAAAGTTGTTAACTATGTTATGCACATTAAATGATGAGATGTTATTTTCTGGAAGTGTTCAGAAAATTTAACTATTGTTGTGTTTATTACCACCACCACCACCACTACACTGCTTCTTCGTTTCTTTTACTATTTGTTGACAGTCTGTTTTTTAGAGAAGTTGCTTTATTGAATTTCAAAGCAAGGAAAATTATAATACCTTTATTTCTTTTCATCCCCAGATTTCTAATGTTAAAGAATGTTTCTAGCTTCTTGAGTCACCATTACAGCCAATTTAACATCCTTTAGTTCACTGTCAGACTATACCTTGATACTGCTAGTATTAAAAATCAGATAACCTACATTATAATCTAAGCACTTAGAATGGTACCATTAGTAATGTCCTAGTTTAACTAATGTGGGCGGCCATAATATGGCAGACATTTCAGCTCTTTAATTCTTACCTTTGAGTTTTTGCATCTCAGATTAAAGCCTTCTCTACAGTTTGTCTCCTGGAATCAAGAAGGCTGGAAGACCAGCTTGTGTTCAGTACCTCCCGTGGGCCATTCCCATTCATTATTAGCATTAGCAAACAACACATGCGTGAAGCCTACCTTCATAGACCTGAGAGAGAGGTTCATAAGGCTGTACAAGAAAAAGGTAACCATCAGTGCATCTTTCAGCTGTGTGTTTATTTTGGCTATTTACAGTCCATGGAGTCACGGAGTCGCTCATACACGACTGAGCAACTAAGCACACACAAGGGGTATTATCAAGAATTACACTAATATAAATCAGGCGTGATCCTGTTTGCTATATCAGTGTATTGATTATAACTGAAGAGGAGAGGCTTACTCACACTCTAAATGAGAAATCTCATGGGTTTATAGGATTTGGATTCTCATTTCTCTTGTAAAGCTGAGTGAACTATCATTTTAATAAGAATATTTTACATTATAGGATAGTTGTCTGTATTAAATTCCTAAAACTGGTCAGCGTTGGTTTTTTTATTTATAGGCTCATCTTCACCATTATCTACAAATTGAAGGGATGGAGGAAAGCTGTTTCACAGAAGCCGTGTCATCTTTATCAGCACTTGTACAAGAATATAACCAACTGGATGCCACAAAAAGCATGCCTGTGGAAGATTTACCTAGACTAAACATAGCTATGTGAAAAAGAAACCCCAAAGATAAAACTTTTTTTTAATTTCACATTTTTGCCCCCTTACCTTTCTGTTTCAGAATTTTTGTGATTCAGAAAGCCTAATGTGTTTTTCATATTGGGAATTGAATGGTTTCCACTTAATTACAATTTGTTGATACCATTGTGTGAAATTAGCTAAGTACTAGTGCCTTAACGTCAAACATTTGTCTTCCAAAAAAGTCTTGTTTTCTAATATTGAGAGAACAGAGCTCAACATTTTACTTAATTTATAGTCTCATATTTAGTCATTTATAGAGATAATCATGTCTGCAATAAAAAAATCTTGTACAGATATTTTTATATTTATTTATAATTTGTTTTCATAGTCTGTTTAAATTCTCCTGACTCTTTAAAAGTAAATACAGGAGTAGAACATAATATAAATATTTCTTTTGTAATAGCCACTAACTTCAGGAATAGATTTTATTACAATTTAAGGAGGTTTTATTTCTTCTTTGGGTAACCACTTGTTTGCACTCAAAAGAATCACAGTTTACAATTAACTTGTATTTGTATTGTTATTATAAAATGTTTTTTTAATCAAACCAGTTGGTTTTGTAATAATGTCCACATTTTAAAACTCTTTCTTGTTATCAGTTTTGGTTGTCACTATTTATATAGCAAACAGAATATTACTAAGTTTGATGCTTTCTTTGAAACTTTGCAGTAAATGTAATAGTCTAGTGAAATTACTATAAATTACTATTCCAATTACTATAAATCTTCAGTTTTAGTCTTCAGTATTAATTTATTATATATTTCAAATTCACTGATGGACTTACCATTTAAGGAAGTAATTTTGAGGAACAATTTATTTTCAAGCCAAAAAAATCTGTTGTGTGCTTTCTTTAGTGTTATTTTTTTTAATTTATTTCCTTTTCAAAGTAAGTATACTGCTCTTAGTCTTTACCTTGGAAATCAAATTTTTTACAGTTTGGTATAAAAATTTAAATAACTGTCAACAGTGGTCAGGTCAGAGAAGTTCCATTTTTTCCTTCCAAAAGAAATCTTAATTGATATTCAGGATAGGGCAATGGAAATAATAAGTATATTTATAGCTTAATCTTACTCCTGTTTAAGATTTAATCTAGAAAATCTTATAGAATAAAATGTTCTCTTGTAAATTGTATAACTTTTCATTTCATGGAATATGTAGATGGAACCAACTATTACATAATTATACATTTTAAGAGCTCCAATTTTAAGGTTTTCATATTTTACATATAGTTTTAGGAGAACCTTTTTTAAAGCTTGTAATACCTGAGAACAGCCAGGCATTCTTACTGTTTAAACTAATAAGGCAAATTTGCAACCCTCTTAAAACCATTTTAAATTTTGATGTAATGACATGATTAACCTTAACTTTTCCCCATTGTGCTTCATTTTATAGAATCTTGAGCTCAGAAAATATATCTCCTGGATCTCTGCAGTTTCTCTGACATACACAAGATGTAATCCACAGCATCTTCCATTTAAATGACCCTTCATTTGGGCAATCAAATTGAATGGTAATCATTTTAGACTTATTAGGCACACAGCATCTCTTATCCAAGCATATTCCACAGAAAGTGGGTCTATAACTCTGAGTGCTTGAGCATCCAGAAAACACAAATTTTTCAGCTTTGACGGGTTGGAAAGTAGGTTGGCACGTTTTTCCTTTGGGAATCTGAAAAGATATATATAACATTAAGTAGTCACTCTTTAAACTTGATTATAATAGTTCAGAAAAGTGGTACTTCATAGAATATAGACTATTACACAGACACACAGATATAATTATTTTTAGGGCATTAATAGTTGCATTTAGTCATGCCCAGCCCTTTTCGACCTTTAAAATCCCCTCCCACAAGAGGACTTTGAAGGTCCTCCCCGTGCATCCTCCATCATACAGGACCCACTCCCCAGTGCTTTTTGGTGTCTACCTTTGACTTAGTTCCACAATAAATGAAAATCTTTCTGTTTTGTTTAATATCAAGGGCCAAGACTTAGAGAATTTGCTAACACAGTTTTGAGTAAATGGATAGATGAATAAACATCTTAATCCCTTTGAAACTTTCTGATAGGGAATAACATGGGGATAAGACTGGTTTTGTAGCATTTCTAAAAATTATTCTCAAGACAGTCATCTTGCTTAGTTCCAGAAGTAGGACCAGCTCTAGTTATACCAAGCAACCTTAGAGTGTGTATTATGACATTATAGTCCTTTGGAAAGCAGTAGCTAAGCAAAGCATTCTGGAAATGGTGTGGTTCTCTTTCCAAGCTGGTGATACATAACTTAAGATCAGAACTACTCTGCTGTTCATGTTTGTTTTCATAATTACAGTGTAGCAACCAAAATCTTCTATTGATGGCTCTGATTCCACTACAGAAAATTAATATAGGAAAAAGAATCTGAAAAAGATCTCCTAAACAATATACATGGTGGGGTACCACAACAAATCAGACTGATCGAGACCCAACTATTACATTGTTATAATATTCTAGAATCCACAGGTTAACATTTTCTCTCTGCTTGATGAAAATTTTTCCCACAAAGTGCAACTAGGTAATATTTGCTTTCCTTCAAGATAGGTTGACTCTATGTTTCATGAAGTGGTTTTATTAACAAACACCTCCACAAGACACACATACTCTTTTCAGGAGTCTCAATATTGAATTAATGAAGTTAAATATAATTAAACTTTACCTTTACTGTCTTTGATATATTACGGTCACAAGGCTGAATGTAACATAGTCTTTTCTCTCTTCTCATTTCACAGTTGCTGTTTTCATTGGTCACCCTGTTAGATATTCCCATCCCACATGTTCTGGAGCAAGGGGTCCACTTTGTTGCTTGCACAAGACATTTTCTTTTCCAAATAAGTGGGAGATTCCTATATGCTAAAATAAAGGAAGGGAAGTACATGTACTTAAATATGTATGTACTCATGCAGATAATTTTTAATCCTGATTTTTAAGCTAGTAGTTTACAGATCTGAACTTTATATAATGTAACTCTGAATAAAATAAGCTTATGTGGTCTAATTAATTATTCTATTTTCCCTCCTCCCCAAATTATCTTTTGACCAAATATTATAGTCCAGTACCTTAGGAATAAAAATGCATTATCTTTGAGAAACTGAGTAAAATACCCATCTCTTTCTGCTTAGTCCATCCCCTGAGTACTAAACAAGCCTATGCTTTGATGGACAGCCACCTTTTCTCTGGTTCTTGGCTTATGCTTGATGTTATTTTCAACAGATGTTGAAACAGACATGAGTAGGATTAGGGAATTCAGGATATTAATCAGACAATATGGTCTTATTATTAAATTTCATGGTTATATTGAAATCTAAAATACAAAAGTTAAATCTGAGAATTCAGCTATCAATGAGACCAGTTATTTTTTTCACCACTTAAAAATCTAGACTTTTAGAAGATTCTCTACACTAAATAATCATACACTAAGTCATGAAAAATGTTCCATCTATTTTATTCAGTTTAATTGTTGCATTCCCTGTGGTATCAGGCCTAACCCTTCCATTGTCTAGACATTTCATGCCACTTCAGAATGAATGGAAAGCATTTCCTTCAGGTTAATATACATCCTAAAGTGGGTGCTTCAGAAGTAAGGTAGAGATTTGAGTCTGCAATTGAACACAGAAAAATTCTGGCTACATTACTTTAAAATGTCAGTTTAAAAAGGACTGCTCCCCATGCCTTCTTGATAGGAAATATCTCACTTGGAAATATGTGCTATCTTTGAATACAATGATACTTTGGTCCTGTTGTCAGTTTTATTACAGTAGGATCTTGCAACTTCACATAGAACTGAGGGAGAGGAAGCAGAAAAATGGAGATACCTGGAAGGCAGGCAGCAGTTTAAAGACATCAGTGCAGGAAGCAGGTTAAAAGCTTGGCACACATCTGCAATAAATAAAGGTAGTTTAGATTATCGTATCACCAATAATCCCCTTCAGAGTTAAGCCAAGAGCTGCAGTTCAGGAAATTTGCTTAGCATTCATTTAAGGGCAAGGAAACTAGAAGAAATTGTAAAAGTTTAGTGTCTGATCAGCATTGAGTCAAGCATAGAGGCATTAAGTCATTGCATGCTTCCTGCTGTCCAAGCAAAAGCTAGATTCCAACCATAGACTCTGGAATTAACTAAGTTACAAGACAAATAAATCTTAAAGTACGTGTGTGTCCTTGTGCTTCATTTTAAAAGCCGAACTTGTTTGGGCATAAGTACAGTTTTAAAGGTAAGCAAGAGATGTTAAACTGAACGTATATTTCCTCTGAAACAAATCTAGGTCTGTATATTAATAAACTGAGAGCACTTGAGAGATTCTAATTTTTTGTAGCAAAGCACTAACCACTAAATGATCATCTGACGTGTCTTCCACCAGGTTCCAAGTGAATTCACTGAAGCCAGTCTGACTTCACAAATGAGACCAACTTGACTTTGATCCAAAGGCCTTTACCTGGGGACAACTGGTGCTCTAAGGTGGTCTCATCAGGGAGGTTCACACATGGGTCCTAAGAACTTAAGTCATGTAGATTAAATGCAGAAAATCAACTGACCTTGTCCATTTGGAAAAAAAGAATTTGGCTTATAATTTTTAAAAGTTTTAGAGCATTAGTAGTATCAAGCTGTCGGAGAAGGCAATGGCATCCCACTCCAGGACTCTCGCATGGAAAATCCCATGGACAGAGGAGCCTGGTAGGCTGCAGTCCATGAGGTCGCTAAGTTGGACACGACTGAGCGATTTCACTTTCACTTTTCCTTTCATGCACTGGAGAAGGAAATGGCAACCCACTCCAGTGTTCTTGCCTGGAAAATCCCAGGGACAGGGGAGCCTGGTGGGCTGCTGTCTATGGGGTCGCACGGAGTTGGACACGACAGCAGCGACGGCAGTATCATGCTGTTAGCTGAAAAGCCACATATGCTAAGTGCCAATTTGCCATAGCCTGTTAAATTTTTTTGAATTAAC